CGCAGGTGTGGGCTTGGACCAAAGGGGCTACTCCCATGACCAAGAGGTCACCTGCTTCCACGGAGAAGTCTGATGCGGTGCTGCATGCTGAGAGGCCGCTGCACCAGCAGAGCTTGTAAGTCCCCGCGGCAGATGTGACAACCCCTGTTGATGCAAATGTTGCTGCACCAGAGAGATGCTGCCAGGCACCCAGGTCCGTCAACTTCCATACACGCGCATTTTCCACGGCGCACGTGTGGAGAACCAGGACCTGACTTGCATCAGATAGGTGCTGGCCGTCGAGTTCAATCGTGCAGGATGTCCCTGCGATGCAAGTGTTGAACACCTTTTTCGGGCCAACAACGGTCAACTGGCCAGCGTCAACAGAAAAGTCCTGCATGAAGCTGCAACCGCAGCCTCGTGCGCACCAGCAGAGGCGATAGCGCCCACCCTGTGCTGTCAAAACGTCTGCCTGGTATGGGCTCAGAGAGACCGGACCCCAAACCAAGTTGCTTGGGAAGGAGAGGAAATCAACAGCGCAGGTATCAGCTAGCAATACGGTGTCTGGCTGCAAGGCATCGAATCCAAGTTGGCTGCCAGAGCTTGCAAGTGCCCAACTCGAAAGAATTCCATCAGACAGGCTGGCTGCATTGCCTATGATGCCACTCGCACCAGCATTTAGAGCTATTGCCGTCCAGCCATTTCGACCAAGAAACTCCGCTTCATACAGATGAAGCGATGCATCTGATTGCAATGATACCAACCAACGGGAGGCAGTGACAGCTGGCATCCAAGAGCAAGCATACCACAGCAGACCATCCCCTGCAGAGACGAAAGAAGCTGTGCTCAACATACTGCAGGATCCTGCCAAGTCGGCTTCACTCACGTTGAAGGTTTGAAGGCTGGTGTAATACACGTCCAGAGATGAGAGGCCGGCAGATACCGCATTGGATGGATCGAGGGCAAGGCGAAAGGCCGTTACGGCCTCCACAACATGCGGGTTCATGTCGAAGCCGTCAAGCGCAACGTTGCAAGTATAGCCTGCTACGCAAGTCCTGTCCTGGGCGAGAGGGCTGGGACCTCGCAACGAAAGGGACCCAATCTCCACAGAGAAGTCTTTGGAACTGGCGCAGGAGAAGCCTGCAGCACACCAGCACAGCCTGTAAAAGCCTCCTGGGCCGGTGAGAGGAATGGAGAAACCCCAGTTGGCTGCGCTACCGCTTGCTGCAACAGTAACTGCCAAGCCATGCTGCGGGATGCCCTGAAACCTGTCGCTGGGAAAACTGCCGCAGGTGTCCAGTATGGTGAGAGAGTCACTCGAGGAAAGATGCTGGCCAAGCAGTCCATCCACAGAGCAAGCTTGCCCACTCACACAAGTTAAGTCCACGATGCTTGAAGGTCCCATTACAAGAAGTTCACCGAAGTCCACCTGAGAGCCTGTGACCCTTCTACAGTCCACTGTCTGATTCTGCGTGCTGTTCAAGGCTCCTATGGACCCGCACCAGCACATGCGGTAACCCCCACCGAACAAAGTCACCCCATCCAGAATCCAAGCCTTACTCTGGGCACCCATAGTCTCTTGCGAAGCATTGCTAAAGTTGCCAAGCGCTACCCCGCTCTCAGTCGCAGCCCGTACATCGGAAATGCCAACGCCCCGGGGCACGTTGCACGTCTGCAGGATCATAAGATGGCTCGCATCCAGATTTCCGTAGCTCTCGATACCGTCCAGTCTGCATATTTGTCCTGCCACACATGTTCGGTGCTGCTGTAAGGGAGCAACGCCAAGCAAGAAAACTGCGCCCACATCCACCTTCTCATGGCAAGCATCTAGACCACACCAGCAGAGTCGGTATGACCCTCCTGCAGCTTTGATCTCGTCAAACCACAAGGCCGCACTGCTGTTTCTCGTCTCAATCTTTCCTATTTCAGCAGCCAAGCCTGAGCAAGTGTCAAGAATCTGCAAGTTGTAGTCCACACTGGTGATCCCAAGCCCTTGAAGGGCGCTGCTGCAAATGGCACCGGCAACACAAGTCCGCACATGGTCTCGGTAAGGGCCGAGCACGGTCAAAGCCCCAACGTCCACCACAAAATCCTCTTGCAGGTAGCAACCACCAAGGGTCTCCCATGAAAAGGAGGGCAAACCTGTTGCAAACGCTCGGCTGGGTGGAGTGCACCAGCAAATACGGTATGAGCCACCCCCAGCCGAGAGAATAAATGAGGAATTTCCGAGCGTTAGAGCTGGAATCCCTGCAACGATGCCCTCGTTGGAGCCGCAGTCCTTCATCACCATCAGGCCATCTTCGGGTGACAGCAGATTCCCCATAAAACTTCCTAGAGCACATGCCGCTCCGCTGATGCAAGTTTTGTCCTGCTGGAACGGTGATGGCCCCACAACTGTTACAATTCCTGCCTCATACCTGAAATCGGCAGGTGCCATGCAATCCACATCTGACAGAGGGCGGCACCAACAGAGGCGATACTCTCCGCCTGCAGCGGTTACGGCAGTCCGTGAGCTGTTGCCATCCCACCGGAGGGTGCCAGTCAGGATGTCAAAGACTGCAAAAGCAGAGTTGGGAAACCGTCCTGGTGTGGCGGCTGTGCCACACGTAACAAGCACCACAAAAGCATCCGATGCAGAGAAGTCCAGACCGAGCAAACCATCTGCCAGGCAAGGCAGGCCACTCACGCAGGTGTGTCTGTTTGATGGCAAGGGGCCAAGGATCGTCAGCTCCCCAACATCAACCGCATACTGCAGCAGGGTCTGGCATCCTCCCAGACACCAGCACAGCCTCCAACTCCCAACAGCACCTTTCTCAAGAACCTCTAGGCCAGTGATGTTGCTGTTCATGCGCGCTGGAGCAACTGCCCTTTCCGCTCCACATGTGTCCAACGCAATCGCTTCCCCTGCGCCAGCAACCCCAAAAGTCCAAGATGATGGACATGCCCTGCCTGCCACGCAAGTAGCTGCCTGATTCAGAGGCGAGACTCCCAGAAGAACCAGGGAGCCAAAGTCTACTTGGAAGTCCTTTGCAACATTGCATGGAAAATCTGCTGAACACCAGCAAAGTCGGTAGTTTCCTCCCGCTGCCGTGTTTTGGGTGCCTCCCCAGCTGATGCTTGCACCACTTCGCGAGATGTTGGTAAAGAAGCCAGAGCCAGAGAATCTTGGCACCACCTCATTCATTCCACAAGTCTCCAAGACCAGCACACTGTCCGTCTCGAGTAAGCCTTCCCCCAGGATGCCATCAACGAAGCAGGTTCGTCCAGAGATGCAGGTTCGGTCTTGGCCCAGCTGTGGACCAAGCACTGTCAGCCCACCCATGTCGATGCGGAAGTTGGACGCCACCTCGCACTCGCTGGCGCCAGAAGCATCAGTGCGGTTGCCCTGCGTAGGTGAACACCAGCAAAGTCTGTAGCGACCACCTGCTGCCGTAACAGCAGCCCATGAAGCTTCCAGTAGCAAATTCTGCTGAAGAGTCTGGCTAGGCCGCACGAAGCCGGATATCACAGAAGCCGTTCCACACGTTTCTGCCACCAGGATCTCTGAGCTTTCGGCAAGGAAGCCCTCGCCCAGCAACCCCGTCAGTTTGCAGGACTGACCGCTGACGCAAGTCCTCATCTGTTCGGAGAAACTTGGACCCAAGATTGCCAGGTTTCCCACTTCCACGATGAAATCCTGTGAGGAAGAACAATCATGCGAAGAGTTGCCCTCGAAGGCGCTTGCACCTTGGCCGCTGCACCAACAGATTCTGTATTTGCCTCCATAGGCAGCCAAAGGAACGGATGGCCAAGTTGCCCGCGCACTTCCACCAGTAAAAGACAGCTGCTGCCTGGGCAAAGACAAGCGGGAGGAAATCCCACATGTCTCCAAAATCTGAAGGAAGTCCTCGTTGAAGATGTGGTGGCCAAAGATGCCATCAATTTCGCAAGCGCGACCAGACATACAAGTTCTGTCTTGCATCCCAGAGACCCCCACCAGCTCTAACTTTCCGGCATCCACCACAAAGGAGTTTGCTGTAGAACAATCCCTAGAAGAACACCAGCACAGCCGGTAAATTCCACCAGAAGCTGTCAAGGAAGTAAAGCTTACCGAAGCAAAACTTGAACCCACCACTTGCGCTGTACCGTGAAGCAAAGCAGGGTTTTGGCCACAGGTGTCGAGGATCGACACAGACCACGTGTGCGCACCATGGACACTTGCACCAAAGGAGCAAGTCCTCCCGCTCACACACGTCTGGTCTTGCTGTAGCGGGGTCGGACCATACACCTGGAGCTCGCCCAAGTCGACAGAAAAGTACCGAAAATCACTGCAATCGCCCATCGCTGCACACCAACAAAGTCTGTATTGACCCCCAGCCGCAGAGTTCACTGTGCTGCCCCAAGATACTGTAGCCCCGCTTGCGCGCACGCTATCGAACTGCCCAGTCCCAGCAAACTTGGGAATAATTTGCACGACTCCACCTGGGTGCACCCTCTGAATGCTTCAACTACTTGTGTTTAGACTCACCAAAAACTCACAAAACAAAAGAATCGTCAAGCATGCTATCATCCAAGCTGCATGTGTCCATCACCACGAACGAGTCGTTCGCGCTCAAGTGCTGACCCAGCAAGCCGTCTACTTGGCAGGATTGTCCGCTGAGACAGGTGCGGGCGGCACCTGTAGATGGACCTATTAGCGTAAAGCTCCCCATGTCTATCCAAGACTCTGCAATGCTGTCCGTCCCGTTCGACTGCAGTCCAGCTTGCCAGCAAAGCCTGTACTGACCTCCTGCTGCAGAACTGCGAGCTGCGTCCCAGCTTGCCAGCCAGTGGCCACCGGTCATGTCGGCCAGACGAGGCCTTTCTTGCATGAACCTTTCTGGCACGCCCTCTGCTCGTAAGCTGCCACAAGTGGAGTGAATAGCAACAAAGTCCGCATCTGACCACCCAATACCGATGAGCGATTCCAAGACGCAAGTCTGGCCAGTGATGCAAGTTCTATCTTGCTCAAGTGGCCGTGGCCCAACAAGGAATAGGCTGCCGGTATCCACTTCAAAGTGGCCGGAATGAGAGCATTGACTCTCCAAAGTGTTGTTGCTGCGCGAGCACCAGCACATGCGATAGTTGCCGCCAACGGCTGTGATGGCTAGGTCGAACCATGAGGCGAAACCACGCCGAAGTCTCAACAGCTCTCCTGGCTGCGCCCATGACAGTACTGCATTGTCTACTCCGCAGGTGTTCATAATAAGAAGGTTGAAGGAAGCGTCATATAAGCCGACCCCCTGCAGATTGTCCACGGTGCATCTGCGGCCGCTGACACAAGTCCTGTCCTGGGTCAGAGGGCTCAGGCCGGCGATCGTCAGGGTACCAGCATCAACCAGGAAATCTTCTGCAAGCGCACAGCTCTGCCAGCTGGAGTTTGTCTCCATGCACCAGCAAAGCCTGTAGACTCCTCCTGGTGAGGTGATGTCTGAAGATGCCCAAGCAGCACCTGTAGTCAAGGTTTGCTTCAATCTGGCAGGCAGCGAGGTAGTACCACAGGTATCAAGGACCATAACTCTGCCCTGTTCGAGATTGTAGCCTTCCAGATCGTGGAACTCACAGGCTTGGCCGCTGAAGCAAGTCATATGCTGGAAAAGTGGACTTGGACCCAACAAATCCAGGGTGCCCATGTCCACAGCGAAGTCTTCTGCCGTTTGGCAAAACAAGCTCGAGTTGTCGCTCCAATTGCCTGTATAAAATTCGCAGGAGGATTGGTTGTCTACACTTCCTGACATGCACTGTGCCCTAGAATAAGATATGGCAGCACACCAGCAGAGGCGATAGCGACCTCCCCCTGCTGACACCACCAAATTTGATGTCACCGAGCTCGTTGCAACCTCAGCTAGGCGACCAGCATCAGGCCAGCGATGCAGCACGCCTCCAACGCCACAGGTCTCTAAGACCACCAGCTGCCCAAAATCCCCTATTGCAGCACCGGCATCAAGCCCAACCAGTGAGCATTCCTGACCAGAGATGCACGTCCACTCCTGCTTTCGGGTTGGCCCAAGGACGAAGAGCTCACCACCATCTGCTGCAAAGTCAGAAGTAACGCAATGAATCGAGCGGTTGGTGCCATTCACAGAAGCCAAAGTTCCTGGGCACCAGCAAAGACGATAGCTACCGCCAAGTGCAAGAACACGATGTTGACCCCAGTTCACCTCGACAAAGCTCCCACGTGTATCAGCCACTGCTCCAGCCGAACTGAGTCCAGGAGTGACCTTCAGGGTTCAGTCGGCAGAGCCCTGAACTTAACTTGTTAAAGCTTTTTAGGGATTCGGGATGTGACTACTGTGAGCCCCAAGGGTGAGCCCCAGCCTGTTTTTGTCCACAGGTATCCATGACCATGAACTCATCTGACATGTCCCATCCGAGGCCCAGTATTCCCTTGACCACACAGGTCTGTCCCGAGATGCAAGTGTGAGACTGCAGCGGGAATGGTCCAAGCATTTGGAAGTGTCCAACGTCCGTCAGGAATTGCGACGATGTACTGCAGACCGCCTCACCTGAGCACCAGCATAGCCTGTATTGTCCCGCTGCCAGAGTTAGAGCATTACTGCCCCAGGAAACAGAACTGCCTGAAAGGGACACGGTTGTTGCTAGACGCCCAGCTGGGGAAATGATCTGATTTGGATCCCCACAGGTGTCCATAGGCAACCACAAATCATGCACCGAAAGGTGGTGACCTTGAATACCATCCAGCAGGCATGTTTGCCCGGACAAGCACGTCCTGTCTTGTGCAAGAGGGGATACGCCAATGATCACCATGTGGCCTACGTCAACTTGGCAGCTGCTGGAAAATTCTTCTTGCAACGGCTGGCACCAGCAGAGACGGTAAGCTCCACCTGCAGCTACAAATGGCTCCCCAAACTCAAGCAGGATTGTAGAAGGTTCTGCGAGAGAAACTGTGTTTGCATGAGGCCACCCTTCTGACGTTGTGTCGATGCCGCATGTATCGAGAATTTGCACAGTGTCATTCTGCGACAGATCTTGGCCATGAATGTAGAACCCAGGGCAGCGATCTCCGCTGATGCATGTCCTCCTCTGGTCTAGTGGTGATGGGCCAATGACGAGCAAGCTGCCAGTATCGACACTGAAATCCGACGCTTTGGAGCATGGGCCTGCAGGAGAACACCAACAGATTCGATATTGCCCACCAGCAAAAGAAATCTTCTCCAAGACCCATTTTGCAGGCTCGCTGTCAAGTTCAGACACGTTAAGCCAACGGCCAAGGCCTTTCTCAACGGCGCAGGTCTCCAGAATCATGATGTGGTCGGAGGCAGATACATGTTGACCTTGCAAGCCCTCGATCATGCAAGTATACCCGCTGACACAAGTCCAGTCTTGTGTCAAAGGGGTAGGGCCAATCAACGTGAAAGAGCCAAAGTCCACAAGGAAACTGTCAACCACGCCACAGCTAGATGCACCACACCAACAGAGGCGGAACTGGCCACCTTGACCCGTGAACAGATCCCTGCCCCAATGTATCACCTCATATCGGCTTGACTCGTTAGTTGCATTGATCTCATCCCCAGGCAATCCAGCGACAGCTGGTCGCAGAGGCGGGCTACCCTGTTCGGGATCTGGGCTGCATGTGCTCAACAGCATGATCTGGCCGCTGGTTTCGTCAAAGTCTGGTTCCAAGGAGAAGGAGCACGTGAGGCCGCTGACGCAAGTCCGCTCCATCGTGAGCGAAGGAGGCCCGAGGACCAGAAGCCTGCCAACGTCAACTTGAAAGCTCTCGCCTCCTGCACAAGCAAAGCCTGCTGCGCACCAACACAGGCGGAAGCTCCCCGCAGCAGCTGAGACAACGTCGCTTCCCCAGGAGAAGAGGGCACCGGAGGCGGTCACATCAACTGCTGTTCCATCACCGAATCCAGGGATATGTGATGCCTCACCGCATGTGTCTAAAACCCGGAGAGTATCTCCCAAACTAAAATTCTGCAGTGCCTGGAACAGGTCATTGCCCGAGTACCGTATGGTGCAGGCCCGACCAGAAACGCAGGTTTTCTCCACCCTGAGCACACTGGGTCCAAGCAAGTGCAAAGTGCCCGCATCAATAAAATGAGCCTGCACCCCCTCCGAAACACAATCCGAGGTGGCGCACCAGCACAGGCGATAGTCACCCCCAGCTGCTGACACTACAAAAGAAGATGCCCAGGAAGCATCACGCATGGTTCCGGTTACCAGCAGCTTGCCAGCATCAGGGAAGTTCTGTATGGTGGGCAACAGATTGCCAGGCCTTGAACAGGTGTCCAGCACAAACAGGCCGTCACGGATATCCAGGGCCTGACCCATCAGAGCTGGAATCTCACACACCTGACCTGCGATGCAAGTGCGATGCTGGCTCGGCTTAGGACCCCTCACCAAAAGTTCACCGATGTCTACCTGACCTGCAACGCAAGGAAAGCCAACTGCACACCAACACAATCTGTACTGGCCACCGGGCAGGCTTAGGACTTGGACGCTACCATTGTTGAAGGAAACTGCCCTGCGGCTGATTTCCGTGCTGTTGGCTGCCAAGAAGTGCAACTGCCCGCCTGAGACTGAAGCACCGCAAGTGTCCTGCACAAGAAGACGATCTCCGTCCGATAAGCCTACACCCACGACGCCGTCCACGACACAGCTAACTCCACTCATGCAGGTGCGAGTGCTGTCAAGCTCAAAGGGTCCAATCAGCGTGAAGGAGCCAGCATCCAGTGCAAAATCTGCCGGGGTCTGGCACATCTGACCACCTGCACACCAACACAAGCGGAAATTTCCCCCTGCACTGGAGAAAACAAGTTCGTCCCAGCTCGCAATGGCTATCTGGGATCCGCCAGGGAGTGACACGTTTCCGAGCTGGAGCATTGAAGGCAGAAGTGAATTCTGTTCTCTGTTTGTTTGCGGAAGCGTGAGCACCACATAATCTGAGGATTCGTCAGACACTAGCGAACAAATTGAGTAAAGCTGGCAGAAGCCAACCGCACGGGAGTCTGCGGGTGTGCTCATGTTGCTTTGTGAATCCTTGTACATGGCAGCAACACAGGATGCATTACTAGAATGGTCAACATGTGCATCGCACAGCAGACGGCATGCTGATGCGCTTGATGCATTCGTGTCCAGGAGAACGCTGAAATCCTGAAGCGGCACTGTACCTACAATGGAAGCTCTTCCACAATGTCCCCGCGTAGACTGTACCTTGGGGATGGAACTGTCCAAGCCGCAGGTGTCCAGCAACAGCAGGCTGTCTTGTGCTGAAGCGTCCCAAACTTGCAAAGAGAAGATGCAGGTCTGGCCACTCACACAGGTCCGTTCCTGCTGGAGCGGGAAAGGTCCAAGTACCTGTAAATTCCCAAAATCCACCAGGTGCTCTGTTACAGATGAACAAGCAGAGCCCGTACCTGCTGAGCACCAACACAATCGGTATTGGCCCCCTGCCACGTGCAAAAAGGGCAGCCGCGTCGTGAAGCCCTGCAACTGGTTACTTGCCTCTGCAGCATCTTCAAATCGGAAGAATAGCCCATCCCATCCAGCTGCGGCAAGGAGGGAGGAAGCGAAATTGGTGTTGCCACAGGTGTCGAGTATCATAATGGTATCGCCGGGTGTTAGATGAAGACCCGTGAGTCCATGAAGACCGCATGGCTGCCCTGAAACGCAAGTATACGCCTGATGAAGGGGAGATGGGCCGAGGAGGGTCAATCCACCGATGTCAACTGTAAAGCGATCTGCCTGATCGCAGAGGGCCACTGGCTCTGCCTGCCATGGACGGACAGTGCACCAACACAAGCGATACAACCCACCTGCAGCTGTTGGTAAGGAGGACCATGCAGCAGCGGAGCCACTGGAAAGAAGCGGCAGCGCCACGGATTGTGACCAGCGAGGAATGAGAGCTGTAGAGGAGCCGCAGGTATCCAGAACAAGCAAACGGTCTGCATCATCTAGGCTGTAACCTGCCAAGTCGCCAAATCGGCAAGGATGGCCACTGATGCAGGTTCGATCTTGAATCTGTGGCCCAAATATGCTGAGCCCCCCAAGATCCACGTTGAATTCCTGGGATGCCGCACAAGACTTGATCGAACGCGAGCACCAGCAGAGACGATACTGCCCAGCTGGCAGCATGCCAAACTCTACAGAAACGGCACCAAAAACTGCATCAAATGATGGACACTTGTCATAGCAGTCAGGCGTGCCGTCCCCATCGCGGTCAAGGTCTGGAATCCCACAACCGCACGCTCCTGGAACAACTTTGAAGGCATCATTGGGACATAGATCCATGCAGTCTGGCAGGCCGTCGTTGTCAGCATCTACATCACTCTCTCCGCACCCACATGTGCCAGCTGAAGCCTTGCTAAAATCTCCAGGGCACTCATCCAAGAAATCTGGCACACCATCACCATCCAAGTCTGCAGCTGCAGCAGGACAGCCAGCCGTCCCTGCAGAGTTGTCAGGCAAGCTGGGACATCGATCGTTGCAGTCAGGAACCCCGTCTGCATCGGTGTCAGTATCCAGTACTGAGCAGCCACAAATACCTGTTGATGTCTTCTCGGCTTGGAGATCACATCTGTCCTGGCAGTCTGGGACGCCATCCGCATCGCTGTCCGTGTCCGCTTGTCCGCAACCACATGTTCCAACCTCTATCTTATCTGGATCCAGTGGGCACTCATCAGTGCAGTCCATGACGCCATCGCCATCTGTGTCATTCATAGACTCTGCACAGTGACATGGATTCGCGTAGCCACCACGCCCAGAAACACTCTGCGCTGTGTAGCTCCACGCAAGGGTGCTACCACAGCTCTCCAACACGGCATAGGCATCACCCTCTGTAAGGAGGTGCCCCAGAACGTCGTCCACCGTGCATGGGTGTCCAGTCACACAGGTCCTGTCCTGACCAGCCTTCCACTTCTCCTGCGCTGAAAGAACTAAGGTCTGGGAGGCCTGGCTTGAAACAATACTGCAGCAAGCCCACAGCCTGCAGAATCCAGACTCGGGAGTATACTCTGCAGCGCCACATGAGAATCCACTTGCGTTTGAGCTGCTAGAGCTACAACGTAGCCAACATGCCTCCATGCTTTCAACATAGGAGAAGGCAAGTACAGAAGCGTTTGCACTCTGGCAAGATCCCGGTTTCCAGCGGAAAGGGGAGGTCACGCTTGAGGGCCCGACAACATCAAGCTGGCCAACATCCACCCTGAAATCTGACGCGCTTTTGCAGCTATAACCAGAAGCACACCAGCAGAGTCGATACGTTCCACCTGCAGCGGACCAAACGGTAACATTGTTGGACAGTAACGCTAGGCCGGTGCCATTGGCCTGCAAACTGGGCATAGCCAGTTGGCCCTGGCTGGGACCTTGCAAGCCGCATGTCTCCAACAGCATGAGCTGATCGTTCTCCTGCAAGTCTTGCCCAGGCAGGCTTTGAACAGCACAAATGCTTCCGGCAATGCAAATTCGCAGCCTGCTTACAGCACGATTCGCATCTGTGCTGGGCCCAATCAATGCGAGGGAGCCCACATTGACCTGAAAAGATTCTGCCCAACTGCAGGCGAAAGAAGATGCAGCACACCAGCAAAGCTGGTAGCTCCCTCCAGTGGATGTGACAAACTCCAGCATACTGCCTGCTACGAAGCCTGCAACCCTTGATGAATTTGAAGACAAGACTTTGGATTGCGGCAGGGGAAAGCCCACGACTGGAGAAGGCCTTCCACAGGTATCCAGCACCAGCAGACGGTCGTCTGCCTGCAAATGGTATCCTGGTAAAGCTTTCATGAAGCAAGTCTGGCCACTGATGCAGGTCCTGTCTTGTGGAAGCGGGCCGATCAACAACAGACCCCCCGCGTCAACCACAAAATTCTGAGCCACGTCACATTTGGCAAATGCTGAACACCAGCAAAGGCGATATTGGCCACCAACCGCAGTGTGTGTAGCATCTCCCCAGCTTATTGACATGGAACCGTTCTGCGGGATTGCTCGTCCTTGCCCGGCCAATCTGGAGGGGGCTTGAGTGCCACAAGTTTCCAGGATCCAATACGCATCATCGGTCGATAGCAGGTGACCTTCAATGCGCTCAATGATGCAAGCCTGTCCCGTCACACATGTCCGATCCTGTGATGCTAAGGGGGACGGACCAACGTGAGAAAACACACCGAAGTCAACCCGATAATCATGGTGTAGGCTGCATTGAAAACCGGCTGCGCACCAACAAAGACGGTAGGCTCCGCCTGCGAAGGTCTGCGTGGCAACCGTACTTACAGCATCCACAGCCATCCCCAGACTTGCATTGAAAGTTGGAACTGTCAAGGCTTGTCCGCTGGCATGACCACAGGTGTCGAGAACTCGAACCAGATCCGCCTGCTGGATGCCCAGCCCCTGTATGCCGTCAATTCGACAGGTCAAGCCAGCTATGCATGTGACTTGCTGGGAGAGCGGGAAAGGTCCAAGTAGCATGAGTTCACCAACATCAATGTAAAAGTCTGGCACAAGGCTGCATCTGCCGACATTTGAGCACCAGCAAAGCCTGTAGAGCCCACCAGCTGAGGTTAACTGTCCAGCCAGCCACGCTGATGTTCGCTGCGCGTTTAGTGCAACTTGCGGCGATATGAAATCAGAGCCGTCTTCAAGGGATTGGTTGCCAGCGACAGGCAGCACGCCACACGTGTCCAATACCAACATTGAGATTGCAGAGAAATTTGCAATCATAGGGTGAAGACTTATTCCAGCTTCACTGCTGTCCATCAAGCGGCGAATAAAGCAGGGTTGCCCACTCACGCATGTTCGGCTGCTGCGTATGTCTTGGATTCCCAATAGCTGCAAGGATCCAACATCTACAATGAAATCCGCTCGAGATCCACAGCTTGCTCCCGAATGACACCAACAAAGGCGGTAAGTACCCGCGGCTGCAGTCACTGACACATGTCCGAAACTTGCCTGGACACCCTGAAAGGTGAAGTCGCCACTATTCGGGCAAACATCGATGCAGTCCGGCACGAAGTCACCATCCGCATCAGCTTCGGAAATTCCGCATCCACAGCTTCCGGGGAAAGTTTTGGAAGCATCATGCGGGCATAAATCCAAGCAATCCGGCACGCCGTCCATGTCGCTGTCAATGTCCGAAACATTGCATCCACAAACTCCAGCAAGCACTTTGCTAGCATCGTGCGGACACTGGTCCAGGCAGTCAAGCAGCCCATCCGCATCAGAGTCAACTACAACGCAGCAGGAGCCACCTGTGACATCTGGTCCGGAACATTGGTCATTGCAATCCGGGATGCCATCAAGATCGCTATCCGAATCAAGGCTCCCACAACCACAAATGTCGGGTGCCGTTTTGCCTGGGTTCAGGGGACACTGGTCTACACAGTCGGGTGTGCCATCGCCATCTGAGTCCACCTCTGGCGTGCCACAACCACATATGCCTGGATCTGTTTTCTCATCCATGGGGCAGAAGTCGCCACAGGCTGCGCAAAGAGATTGGTTTGTGTCCGGTGGGTAAGAGCTACAGAGGGGCGACGTGCAACCACATTGTCCTGAAACCTGGAAGAGGCTGCCCTCCTCAGGAAATCGGCTCGCAACATCCTGGACTCCACAAGTGTGCAGGACCAGGTAGTGGTCGTAGATGGACACATGATTGCCACTGATATCATTCAGCAGGCATGTCGTGCCACTGATGCAGGTCCATGCTTGATTCAACGGCGTGGGGCCCACCAGCATCAGAGTGCCAACATCTACCCTGAAATCTGTTCCGTCTTCACAATATGAGATGTTGCTTGAGCTGGAGCCATCCCAGTGGCCACACCAACAGATCCGATAAAAGCCGCCCGATGCCATCATGGTTGTCTGTGACAGACCTGGGGTCAACTCAATCATTCCCATGCCAGGTGGCATACTTGAAGTGCCGCAAGTGTCCAGGACAAGAAGTCGTGCAGCACTGGCAGTATGATGGAACT